AATTTAATTTACAAAATAATTTTATAATATTTTAATTCATAGTCGAGTCTTCAGACTTTAAATTTGTAACTATATCTTTAAAATGTATCTTTTTATCAAAGAAAATAATGAACGCTTGTTTTTTCCCCCTAAAATTCTTTTTGCATCCACCAATTGCTAATTGCTTGTTAATTTGTGTCTTTTCACTTTTTTTTTTTTTAGCTATGTAGAGACTCTAAGAACATTAAACAAAGTTAGAATTCTCTAGTTCTCATTGGATTTTCTTAAGAAATTAGAGTATAGATATGTTGTTGTTTTATGTAGTTTATACTTGTTGGGGGCAGGCTTTATAAACCAATTTGTTCATTCAGGATTTTATCTAGAAGGCACCTGCATCAAGGGGAAAGTCATTTTAAGACCTAGTTCATGTAACAATTTCTCTCGACTGTTTTAATACATTTGTGCAAGCCAAGAGAGTTTGTCACAGATTTTGGTTAAAAGAAAAAAAAGGTGACGGTTAAGATTGAAATTCCTTTTCCTCCACTCTGTTGAGTATTTTTGATTGTATTCTAGTCTGACTTACATTTAAAGCATAAGGAAGTTTTTCTTGATTTCTTGATTTTGGGAAAATCTGTAAGTCTCCATTCAGAGGTTAAGGAATACATAGTGTTCGCTTTAAAACAATTAAATTAGTTTTATTGAGAAATTGTTTCCTGTTGTATTAGTTTGCTAGGGCTGCCATAACAAGGTGCCACGGACTGGGTGGCTTAAACAGCAGAAAATTTTTTTCTCACTATCCCGGGGGCTAGAATCCAAGATCAAGGTGTTGATAGGGTTGGTTTCTCTTGAGGTCTCTCCCCTTGGCTTACCCATGGCGTCTTCTCCCTGTATCTTCATGTGGTCTTCCAACTGTGTCTGTGTCCAAATTTCCTCTTCTTAATAGGACATCAGTCATACTAGATTAGGAACTACCCCAGTAACCTGATTTTAACTTAATCACTTCTTTTTTTTTTTTTTTTCCTTTTTGTCTTTTTTACTGACCGGTAACGGGATCACAACC